GTAAAACCCTAAGTTTTTACTTCCATGACATATTATACAATGGTGAAAATGCCAAAAATGCAACATCAGCTATTGTTGGAGCTCCAGCATGGGGAAATCTTACAAAATTAGCTGGACAAAATAATTTTGGAGATTTAATTGTATTTGATGATCCAATTACTTTGGATAATAATATTCATTCAAATCCAGTTGGAAGAGCACAAGGTTTTTATATTTATGATAAAAAAGAAATATTTACTTCATGGTTAGGGTTTTCATTTGTTTTTAATTCAACTCAACATAAAGGGAATATTAATTTTGCTGGAGCTGATCTAATTATGAATAAAACTAGAGATATTTCTGTTATTGGTGGAACTGGTGATTTCTTCATGACTAGAGGAATTGCTACTATCATGACTGATTCCTTTGAGGGTGAAGTTTATTTTCGATTACGAGTCGATATTAAACTTTACGAGTGCTGATAATAATTTTAGACGTTACGTATGTTATTGTTATTTTTTTTATTTTTTTTTGGTGAATGTGTGGGGTGGTGGGAAGGAGGGGGGAGGGTTATTGATTGTTTCTTTCTTTGTGTTGAAAGATATATTGTTGGTTAAAGATTCGAAGAATTCTATCTAATATATGGAGTTTTATTTTGATATAATTATTTGGTATCTGAAATTTATTGTTTGATTAGTAGTTTGATTCACACAAGTCACAGCATAAATTTCATTGACGGGTGAAGTTTATTTTTAACTATGTGTCGATAATAAACTTTACTAATGCTGATAATAATTTTAGACGTTATTGCTATTAGACCATTTCCAACCCACCTCTATTTTACTCTCCATTCTCTATATTTGGAGAGTAAAATAGAGAATGGGCACTCCAACCTACCTCCAAATCACCCTCTATTCTTCAAATTTAGAGAGTTGAATAGTAGTTCTCCAAATTTGGAGAACTACTGTTCATACTCTCTATTTCACTTTTTCATTATTTTATTATTATTTCTATTACTTTCTAATTAACATATTATTTTACATATAATTCCATTAATTAAATATCTAATATTCATAATTCTTTTTTAAATGTAATATAATATTTTAAAAAATATTATTTAATATATACTATTTTAATTTCAAATTAATTGTATTTTATTTTTTTCTAATTTTCGTGAATAATAAAATTTTATTTTATTATTAATTTTCATTATAAAGAATACGCAAAACTAAAATGGCAAGATGAAAAAATTTAATTTAAAAAATACAATACATGATATGATAATTTAAATACAAGATAACAATACAATACATAACATAATAATTTAATACAAGATAACAATACAATATAATGCATAACACAATAATTTAAATACAAGATAAAATACAATACATAACATAATAATTAATTGATCACAACAATAATTTAGAAATCCGGTAGGTCTTTTCCAGATTTAGCACTATTCGGAAAAAAATTAGGATATGATTCCGAAAATTGTTGCGATTGTGGTTGTGATTGCGGTTGTGATTGTCGATTTCTTTTTTCAAGTATTCGTTGTTGTTCTCATTGCAGGTAATCACGAACATTTGGATCACTAATAGTTTCTAAATTTTTCACTAAAATTTTAGTTTCGTCTCTAAATTCCTTGGCTTTGATATATCTATCTAGCCTTTCGCCGTCCTGTTGTTTGGATGTAGCAGACTCTAATAACATCTTCCAAGTCGATTATTTTCAGTTTCGAAAAGTTTCATAGCTGACAAAAGACCTTCATCTTTTGATCTCTTTAATTTTGATTTCTTCACCCCAATAGGCCGTTCAAATGAAGTGTAATGACCTGAAAAATTCTCATTTAAATTAAGAGAAAAAGATGATAAGTTAGGAGATGATACTATAGGTGATGTAGGACTAGGAGCCTCAGACTCGATTGCAAAGTAGAGCCTTGTCCTCGAACTTTTTGCAATTATTGTAGGATCGTCACGTTTTTGGAGAAAAGAAATGCTACATGATATAATGACTACATGTATTATACTGCACAACATGATAATTGAGGATAAACGTGATCTCAATGCACCAATTCAAGATGCCGTAGAGGCTCCAACTCCAACTATAGAAATGGTGGTAGATTAAAATCTCCGGTTTGAACAATTTTTAGCTAGACATAAAAAAATTATGGACAAAAATGCTCATTTTGAACTCCGTAATGCATTAATAGAGCATTTATGGGAGCAACGTAATAATTTTGAAAATTTAGTGTTTATGTAATTGTATGTCACTTTTATTTGAATTTGTCCCCTAATTTATGTATTATATTATATTTTCTTGCAATTTATGTTATTTAAAAATTTAGAATAAAATATAATTTCATATCACATTAAAAATTATATAAAGTAATTATTTGGGAAAAAAGAAATAAAGGATTTATATTATGAAATAAGAAAATAAGAATGAAATAGAAATAATAATATAATATTGAGAATAGAGAAAAAGATTCATTTTTAGAGAGTAAAATAGAGAATTGGGTTGGAGTTGGTTGTCTAAAAAAATAGAGAACTCTATATTTGGAGAGTAAAATAGAGAATTGGGTTGGAGATGCCCTTATAATTATTGTTTTTGTTGATGATAGTAATTTTAGACGCTATTGTTATGATTATTAATTTATTATTGGCAGGGGCGGCTCAAACCCGTGGGTGGCCTAAGGCCAAAATCAAACTAGAGGCCTTAAAAAAAAATTTAAAATTATATATGTTTTTATTTCAAATCTATTTTTCTAACTTTTTGAGATGCAAAGTTATTTATAATTTTTGTGTGTCAATCTCTTCTAATAATTCTTTTTCAATCGATAATATAGCCAAACCACTTAATCTTTCTTGAGACATTGTTGATCTTAAATTAGATTTTATTATTTTTAATTTTGAAAAACTTCTTTCTGCTGAAGCAACTGTTGCAGGAATTGTTAACATTATTCTATAAGCAATGTAAGCATTTGGAAAAGAATCAAGTATTTTTATTTGATCAAGTATCTCAAATAGAGTATTGCCTTCTACTTGTATGATTTTCCTTAACACTTTTAATTCAGAAAATAAGTCTAAACCGTCAATATCCCAGTGAGTATTATGTTTTAAGGAACATTCAAGATTAAGACAATTATTTTTTGAATTCTCATCATCTAATGATCTCAATTTTTTCCCACTAAATAGAAAACCAAAAATATTTTCATATACTTCAAATTGTTCAAATCTAAAACATAAACTATATTTTTTGAAAATTGAAATTATCAATAGAACAAGTAAATTCTTAAGTTTTGATTAAGAGAGATGTAAGATTAGAAAAGAAAAAGAGAGAAGAAATAGAAGAGAGGAAGAGAGAAGGATAAAATATATAAAAATAAATTAGGTAAAAAAAAAAAAAAGATAACTTGTACAATTAAAAAACTACACATTGAAAAGGTAAAAAGTAATAGACATATCAAATCATCTCATTAATTTCGTTTGACTTTAAAGTCTTAGTTCTATTTTTTTTTTAGTTTAATCCTACCTAAGAAACCAAAAAACGGGGCCCCCTAAATTTGGGGGCCTAAGGCCAAAGTCTTTTTTTCAAAGCTTACCAGCCGCCCCTGATTATTGGTGTTGTTGTAATAGTCGTTTTTCTTGGTGAATGTGTGGGGTGGTGGGAAGGAGGGGGTTTATTGATTTTATTTTTTTTGTGTTGAAGGATATATTGCTGATTAAAGATTCGAAGAATTCTATCTAATATATGATGTTTTATTTGATATAATTATTTGGTATATGAAATTTATTGATTATATTCCCATAATTTAAATTTCGTTGAAAGGGAAGTGTGATCTTTATCGAGAATTTTCTTTATTTTCGGCTGAAACTCTATACCTTTAATTTAAAAGTGAAAGGATCTAAATCATTTCACCGGACTTTTCAGGGTGATTATAAACTTGATAAGTACTATACAAGTTTAAGGTTTCATATTTTCTTGGATTTTTTTTTCTACCACATCCAAGCTTAGACATATGGTGTAATAAAATAAGCCAAATCCCTCCTTATTGGTATACATTAAGATTCATCGATTATATTTCAGCCATTCAGTGATTCTAATCTATTTGAATATTATTGAAATTGATATAGTTATCCACTATTTTTTAGTTGCTTAAGTTAAAGGTCTTTCAGAAACAACTTCTCTTCTTCATAAGGTATAACCGTATGAATAAGATTTTCGTATATATTACTATTCCTAAATCTCACTGAATATTTTATTGTTATACTCATTATTTTTTAGTTCAACATTGTCGGTTAATCAGAAAAATAAATATTGTTTACGTAGGTCGAATCTTTCAGAAAAGGTTGGTAGTTTATACTATAATTATATATATCAGTAGTTTTTTACGTTTTTATTATTGACTTTTTTGTTCCTACTGTCTCGTCAACTGTTTCTTTGTTGAGTTAATAATTAGGGAATCTGATTTGATTAATTAGTTATAGTAGTTCCCTCTCCTAATCAACCTAATGAATTAGAAGCCGTCAGAATTTCAACTTCATGAATTTAAAAATATTAAAACAACTTCACGTACTATTTCTAAACTTAAAATGCATAAATTTCTTAATATAAATACATTATTTGTATGAAAGTTATTAAGATCGATGAACTTTTACTTCCATCGTAAAAAAAAAGGTGTGAGTTGTGACCAAATAATCTTGAGTTTAGTAGATTCTTCATCCACATGATACATAATAATTAAACCTATTGTTTATATCCACTATAGTTACTTAATTTTAGCTAAACATGTATTAGCTAAGGTAGGTTCAACAAATGAAAACAAATCTCAAATATTAGAACTAATTAAATATAAGTGGTTATTTAATTAATCCAATAAATTTATGATGATGATACATCACTATCCCAGCTAATATTTAGGTACTTATTAATTTAATTCTTCGACAAAAAAAAGTACTATATAAAGTGACTAAATGTAACCAATCCATCCCATCACTTAACAAATTTTGTGTAACAAAATGTATTCCTCTAAGTCATTATTCACATTTTTGTTCTTTCCATTCCTTCTTCTCTCCATTTCTGCTCATAGCTACACTCATCGCGCTCGTGCTCCTTGTAAAGAAATGGTATTTTTCTTTCACGACATAGTTTACAACGGGGAAAATTATAAAAATGCGACTTCAGCTATAGTCGGTGCGCCGGAATGGGGTAATAGGACCATAATGTCAAGCCCTAACAACTTTGGGGACATGATTGTATTTGATGACCCTATTACCCTTGATAATAATTTACATTCACCTCCAATTGGAAGGGCACAAGGGATGTATTTTTATGATCAAAAAGATACTTTTAGTTCTTGGCTTGGTTTTTCATTTGTGTTTAATAATACTGATTATAAAGGGAGTTTAAATTTTGCTGGACATGATCCATTGATGAACAAGACTAGGGACATTTCAGTAATTGGTGGTACTGGTGATTTTTTCATGACTAGAGGAATTGCAACATTGAGTACTGATGCATTTGAAGGAAGTGTTTATTTTCGACTTCGCGTTCATGTTAAGTTATACGAGTGTTGGAAATTACTATAGTTTTTGTTTGTGATGTGGCCCTTCTCTGGACCTTCAGCATAGCGAGAGCTTAGTGCACTGGACTGTACTTCCGATGTTATTCTCTTTTTCATGTTGATTTCTTGACTTCTCTTTGTTTTTTTTTTCTTTATGAGTTGTAATTTGTGTGGTTATTGATTTTGTTTCATCCTTCAGTTTAATTTCTGTATGGAGGTTTCAATTTATAATAAGCTCTTAGAGTGCATATATAATATGAAATTTGGGAGCCAATTAATCTGTACTTTGTATATTATGTTTCTCAAATATTTAGTCAAAAATACAAATGAAAGGAAAAATATGTGCCACCTAAAATAAGTATTTCTTATTTTTTAATTTAAGTTTTCAAGTTTAGCGTGTAATATCACTTTAGTTGAAAAGTGCACAAAAATCACATAACTATAATATTCTTTTATCAAAGTCACATAACTATATTTTATAACAAAAAAAAAGTCATAGTTATCATAAATTCAACCTTCCGATGAGTGATTTCGATGGATAAAATTTAAATATAAAGTATTAAAAGCAATTAAAAGTTTGGATTTTCTGATAATAGGAATATGTATACCTCCTTTTATTTAATCAGATTTCAATACGGACATCGATGACGACGATTTAAAAAAAAAAACATGAAACGGTTTAACTGGCGCGCCTTTTTGATGAGGTTATCCAGAATTGTCCTGGTTCTGTCCACTCCCGTTTCTTCTCCTCTTATCTTTCTCAAAAATCAATTTTTTCTGCTCCTAAATTCTGGTAAAAAAAAAATTCAAGAATGCGAAGCCTAGTGCTCTCTTGTGAGAGCAGCAGATTTCTATTTAGACCCTCATTTGCATTTCCTAATTTCTCCCCTGCTAATCCTCCTCTAATTGCAATTTCCAGGTAAAATTTGTTTCTTTAGCTGCCCTTTTTAGTCTTTTCTTGAATAATTTGAGCATGAACTGTTTCAATTTCAGCTAAAGTTTTCTTTTTTATTATTGTTATTATTATCTGGGGTTGTTTTGTTCTTGTTTGTTGTCAGCTGGTAGAAGGGTGTCCGTACATTTTGATTATGAAAATACTAGTACAACATCTGGATATATGATATGCGAATCCAAGATTTAAACTTTATGGGTTCGAAATTTCAATATTTACTGAAATTTTAGTGAATTTTCATGTTTTTGCTCATTTGAACATTGTGTTAGGACCGAAATAATTAGGTGTCATGAGCTAGCAAAGCAAACCTCGAAAGACCATGAGTAAGAAGACAAATGAGAAATATACCCAAAGAGTAAAGACACAAATATTTAATGTGGTTCAGTCAATCGACCTACGTCCACGAGAGGAGATGAGCAATTCACTATAATTTTAGTGATTTTTATGTATAGGCTCAATTGAACATTGTAGAATTGTGCAAACCACCTCATCTAAATTTAGATAGGACAATTTTAGGTACTCAACATTTCAGTTTCTGGAATTGTGAAAATAAGATTGGCTATGTTTGTTTTATTTGTTATAATATAATATGATGATATGATCAATTAAACTTGAATGAAGAAGTGAGGATTCATATAGTCGACTCCAATATGTTTGGGACTAAGGCGTAGTAGTAGATGCAGTTGTTTTTCCTGATTGGGTTGTCTGCAGGTTTTCTAGGCGGCATTCTCTTTGCAAACAACATGGATGGTTTGAGGACATCTCCAAGGTTTTTTCCTGTTCTTCAATTTTAATTTTTCCTATTTCATTCGGTAAAATCCAAATGGTTGTGAAGTGATTTTTTTTTTGGACTAAATAACTTATCTGCTTCAAAAGGGGTGAAAAAAAAGAGTAAGCTTTTCTGCGAGAATTGTGATATACTAAGTAAATATATTTTTTCCTGGAAAGCATTTCATTAGCCAAATTCTTCTTCGTCCTATTAACTCATGGATCGTAGACCCATATATAATGCCCCTACTACTTTGACAATCATATTTGTATTGAACTAGCGTTATGAAATTGGATCTTTTCTGATTACCAGTTTATTCTTGTTGTATAAGAGCTTTTTTATGCATTGGTAATTTGATTATCTCGAACTTAAAAGTTTTAGGTCTCACTGTGAAGATATATGATCTGACATTCTGGATTCTTCTTAGGTGGTCAGGACTAGGAACTTCAAAAGATGTTACATCACAAGGTCGGCTTATGGTGCCGATGAATGCAGTAGTACAAACAGAACAGCATTGTTAAAGAGGAAAAATCAAAGCAATTCTGTTCTTCAAGTTTTAGACATGCCAGAGAACAATTATCTGAAAGCTGTTGTCCTTTCTGGGCTTTTCACTCTTCTGTTCACACAACAAGCAAGTGCTGCTTCAGAGGTTGCCACTGGCTTGCAGTCGTTTCCTTTCTTCGGGGACCTTGGAGATTTAAGCACAGGTTTTGCTTCAGTTAGGAAAATCTCTCAGCAGCTTCCATTTCTAAAATCTCTCTGTTGTTTTACCTTATCTGAAAAAGGAAATAATAGAAAAAACGAAATAACAATGCCAAGGATAATAACTCAGTACATGGAAATCATTTCATGCAGCATCCGCCGACATTTGTATCTTGCTTTATTCTCCTTCAAGGAACACATAGCACAAATTTTCATCTGTATTGCCTTTTTTTTTTCTCCTCATACTATACTTTATTTGAGATTGTGAAGGAAAAATGTTTCACCAGAGAGTAATTAAACCTCCTCTTCCTTCTTTTTTCGCAGGCGTTCTTGTTGATATTCTTTTCTGAGCTTGGGGACAAAACCTTCTTTATTGCTGTAAGGGGATTTATCATTCAAAAGCTAAATAAAGATGATACATTACTGTCTGAATAAAATGATGATAGAAATGATTTTTTCATGTGCCTCATCGAAGAGAAACTCCGTCTGATTTGTTATGTTATCATGTGGTCAACAGAAACATTTCTTTCTTATAAGTCCTCATTATACTTCCATAACTAATATGAGCAGGCTCTTTTAGCTGCTAGGAACTCAGCCGTTGTCACTTTCCTTGGGACTTTTGGCGCACTTGGGTATGTTATCTTTCAGCATTCAATATTCAGTATGTCCTCTTAACTTCTGTATCTGATACACGTGAACACAATGTTTCCTTTTCAAGAGCTAACATATATTCTTGACTAGTTCTTATAACATTTGGTTCTCGTGTTAAAATTAAGAGATTGAAGAACTCAATAAGGTCAATGCAACTTATCCAGCACAACTTTTTAAATTTCCTGGAAGATGTTTTATTCAGAAATTTGTTCTCTTTATGTTAATTCTGTCTGTGTCATTTGCAGGGTAATGACAATCATATCCGTTGTTCTCGGACGAACTTTCCACTATGTCGATGACGTTCTTCCTTTCAGGTTCTTTAACCTTTTCGTTTGGCATAATTATGCATCTTAAGTATGTAGAAACTCCACCTACTAAAAAAGCAGATTGTAAGAAATTATTTCCGACAATTCATAGGAGGAGGATTCTATCTAATATTCCCGCATCACGTCCATTTCATTTCTTTGATCGAAGTGCCTAGCATACTCTACTCTTTACTATAATTTTGTAGTGTGCTTTGGATCATTTAACTATTTCTTCTAAATGCAATTTGATTATGTTTTTCTGGGTAAATTCTCCTACAAACTCTCTAACCTTATCATGTTGTTATTGTTATTTCGATTAGAAATTTGAGCAAACAGGATATTACAAATTACTTCAGAAGTCGGGTAATATGTACCAAAACTAGTATATATCAATATTGTAACTATAGAATGTGAAATTGTGTGTTAAAGGCTCATGATTCTGTAAATTATGTTCAAATTGTTTGTCCTAGGTTGCATCCACTGACCTGGTACCACATTTCTGTGCGAGAATATGTTTGCCCTTCTTCATTTTTATCCAAATTAATGTGTTTTCTGGTGTATTAACTTCTTACATGTTAAGAATCTCCTGCTCGTTATCTCAACCTACAAACCATCTTTTCGTCTTTTCACTCTTGGAATAAGGAAAAAAAAATACATTGCTGTGATCTTGATCAGTTTTTCTTTACATTGGGAAGTGTAGTAACCTGCATGGTAATTTAGATGGATCGCTTCATTTTATCAAATGGACTTCAATAGCATCTTCCAAATATTTAAATAACGGAAATATCACGAGTGGTTCATCTGTTATACCCTGATGCAGCTTCCTAAATGCAGGTTAGGTGGAAATGATTTGCCAGTAGATGATATTGCTGCAGTTTGCCTTCTGGTAACGCATGATCCTAATATTTAATATACAATATGCCTTGCACCCATGTGTCAGGTGAAGTTGACATGTCTGGCCATATTCAATTTTGTCACAGGTTTATTTTGGAGTGTCAACCTTGCTTGATGCCTCCTCCAGCGATGCCATGAAAGCGGAAGAGGAGCAGAAAGAGGTAATCCTATCAGCATTCCTTCTGCTATTAAGTATTTTTCTTTTTTTTTCAAGATGACAAGTAGAATCACTGCAAAAAAATGGGGTTAGGGGAAGGGGAAATATGGGAGGGGATTACAAGGTGGGGAGTCGAACCCTCACCAACAAGGTGAAAGGTAGTTAACCAACTACTAAGATTCACCGAACAACACTTCATTATCAGACGTCTATTGGAAGTTAAAACGTTTGGGGCATCAGCAAATGAGCATATTCTAATTGTGGACCTCTTTGCTTTTGACACCAGGCCGAGCTGGCAGTTTCGGAATTTTCAGGAAATGGTGCTGGACTATTGTCTGCTGCAAGCACCATCGTTAGTACATTCGCGTTGGTATTTGTTGCTGAGTGGGGTGATAAATCATTTTTTTCTACAATAGGTTAGTTATACACAGTTTGATGCAGAAACTTATGTTTTTACCATTTGTTCGTCTTATGAATCAACTTGTACAAGAGTCTATGCTTTTCTAAACAGCCAGACATTATGCAATCTGAAAACAATCACGGAAGCTGAATAAGCAAACACTTTTTTATGAATTTCAATCTCTGTTGGATGAATTTATCTACGAGTCCTAGACTTGATTATTAACTTCAAGTACACAATATCTACTTTCAGCTCTTGCTGCTGCATCTTCACCTCTTGGAGTCATTGGAGGGGCATTAGCTGGTCACGGAGCTGCGACTTTGGTAAATACAGACTTTTAACTAAGCATTTCTGTTTACAGGTATCATGTACAATCTGCAAC